GTAGAGGGAAGAATAGGAAAGATTAGAGGAATAAACTTTACCGATTTTTTCAACAGTTCAGAAAAATGGGGCAGTGTCAAGACTTTAACTTGTGAACATTATCATGAAATGTGGACAATCTCACACTATGGGAGGATTTAGAGAAAGAGAGTTGTTTAGTGACAAGAAGTTAAGCTAAGGCAAGTGCGTCAATGGTGCAGTGGATAACTCGTGAGTCGCTGGAAAGGGTAACCGCAGATTCGAAGCTGGCTTGGAGCTCACATTTAGCAAATATCTCAGCATCATTCTGGTTATATTTCACACAATACCGTGCGGTGAAAAAATAACAGGCAGTAAATAAAAAGCTAGACAGAACTCGAGTCATTTTGTGTCAGACAGTATCTCAAAGATGAACTGCTACTTCATTTCTTCACAGTTTGTGGAAATTTTAGCTCCATACAGGTCAGTGTTAAACTAGAAAGCCCACGTGAATTTCTAATATAGTTGTTTAGCATGAGTTTCGAACTACCGTTCAGAGCAATCAGAGAACCAAAGCGATCCATTTGAACCACTTCCCTATTTTTACACTACAAAACTGTTTTGTGTGGAATGTATTGTTTAATTTGAGAAAGTGAAACCTTCTCAAGTAAATCTCGTTTTTTGCCGTTTTTGGTACTACTATCATTTTCGTGAACTTATAAGCCATCAGCGGTGGCAGAATGAGGAATGTTGCCGAAGTGGTGTGATTTCTACAGTTTATGTGAAAATTCGTTTACGCTTTTCGAACAGCTAGAAACATACAGCAACACTTCCAAGACTTTCTAAGATTTGTAGAAAATATAATAGTAGATAATTTACTAAAGCCCCCCAACGGTTTACCACCTCATCCTGGCTAGGAGGATTCCTGGGTGTCGGTCTGCGATGTATAACGGGGAATTCATTCCCTGGGGCGGTCTCCCAAGTTGAGAAGGAGTCCGACGTTTCCTTCAAGGAGCCTAGCTAAGACTAAACCAATACCAGAATCCACCACCGTCCTGGTATCAAAGTCGAATCGTGACAAATCTCCCTCTTCTCCACATGTGTGGCGACTGGGTATAGTGATGAAGACCTGGGCGCACACTTTAGCCTGCCTGATCTCGGGTCTTCAGGGAACCACGGTGACTAAACCAACAAAACTCTAAAATAATGGAAATTATGCTGAGGCCCAGACAACAAGCGCAGACAGGAACTCCAGGTATGCAATTAACTAAGTAAACTACAGCAATACTCTTCCTTATCAGTAGAATTGCTGTGGGAGTTTATCAAGCGAAACGTGAATCAATCAATAGTTGTGTGCTCGAGCACAAAATATGTGACTAAGAGGATCAGGAATTGCTAGTGATTTGAGTCAAACTACGAGAATGACATGATTGTGAGAATGGTCCTATTTTTCTCTTCATCTAAAAAACAACTTTATTTACGCACTGGGACAAATTGATTTCAATGCTTTTATGAAAGGTAAACGTCTCTCAGACTCGAGCGCACATATCTCAGCCCATATCAGAGTTTGTTTACTGAGATAAAAACCATTAAAATGCACAGATTTTTGCCCATAAGAAATAAGTTCTCCTTCTGTACAACGACACGTTTCCTATTTCGGACATAGAGACCATAAAGAGAGCATAAAGTTTTTTTTTCCGCTCTTTTCATTTGAGGCTTCTATGCTCTAAGGTCACTGCAGTTGAACAGTTATCGTTCCGAAATACATAACAGGACGGTGTTCGTTAATGTGTATTAAAATTTTTAGAGCATAAAGTTCGTCATTACTTTTCTTTTGTAAATTGAAGTGTTGAATGAGATTAGAGATCGGAATAACACCTGACACAAACACTACGTACTCCTGGAATGTCAACTCAAAGGCTCCTCTACAGGATTGTAGAAACTACGGTTCCAAAGTTCTGGAATGATTGGTAAATTATCGGCTATTTTCAAAAAATCAACATGATTACGAATATGCTAAACATATTATTATTTGTCGAAACTGTGCCTTTTACGTTGAACGATGGACATAAACTAGTTTAAAGGTTTTTTGAAGGTTTCATCTGAATCTGAAAGAAAAGTTAAAGTCTTCTCAAATTGTTCGGCTTCTACGAGAGTGTTACAAGATTTTTATTCCGCAAACGTTCTGGCGCCTTCGCCTTCTTCAAAACATTCTCTAATGGCTAATGGCAGAATAATCTAAGAAGATATTAACCCTTTTATTTACTGCCTTTTTCTTTTTTAATGGCAGGGTATGTTGCGAAAAAAGATAAAGATAAAAAGATATTATAAGCGAAATATGCATTTAATCAACTCTCAAGATGTTTAATGAAGCCGGATGCATGGCGGATCCCTTAACGGTTGAACACAGCTGGAAGTTTTAAGGTTTATGAGTTAGAAGCCAAAGTATAAGAGAGTAAATGGAAGCAGCCAACGAGTTCCATGTAGAAGTACATCACGGCAGCAAAAGTGCGGTGTTTGCCCGAGAAGTTTGGTCGTGAATACCAAAACTCAATGCTGTCAGAGTAATTAACTTACTGCCTACCGTAACCTTGTTGACAGTTAACCAAGTAGTTATTTGCATGTTTTCTAAATTAGTCTTCTTCCTCGTCTTTTGCCTGCATTTCTGCCATTTCCCTCCTTCCAATTTCAACGACTTTCTTGCAATTTCGATGGTTTTCCACACGGATGTTTAGAAAATGTTTTTTATTAGCAGTTATTCGTACATCATATCATTATACTATACTATATTATATATCATTATATCACCCACGGATCTCCCTCATGTGAGGGATCTCGAGCCGGTTAGTCGTGAGGCTACGTGGCGCGTCTCCAGGTGGCGGATAGGGGGTTAATCGCGGACCAAAAGCGACCTTTGCTTTTCTGAGACGCAGGTGGGTCCAGGGGATGGACTCCCTGTTTCTGCCGCGCTGATTTGGCAAATACTTTCTGGATTTGCTGAGCGTATTCATGCATGTGTGTGTGCGTTCTTGCTTATGTGGATTGTATTCCACGAGTCAATTCGGCCAAAAGCCTGCAATCAAGCGACAGTGAAGTATATGGGAAGCGAGTAGGAGTCGCTTCCAACGAAAAAGGTCCATGTCCACTCCGAAAGAGCCTGGCAAGCTACCCGTGAGTATACTCAGTCCCCACGTTCATAGCCCAGCAAGCTATGCGTGGGTATCAAAATGCTAGACACAGTAAAAAAAAATGGGCCTCATTCCGCTGACCCCGAAAGAGTTCAAATTTCGCAGCGTTGGGTAGGACGAGTACGGAGAGGCTGCTAAAATCTCAAACTTAATGGAAGCTGCTTAGACGTCTGAAGAACGTCACTTTGGGACTCACGAATTAGAATGGAACGTTTACGATTAAAAAGACGTGGATCAATTCCAGCTTTGACAATCCTCGTCGTTTACGCGCTGACATCAAACTATGACGAAGAAGAAGTCGAAGCGTTCTATATGGGCTTGGAGAAGTTCTAGTGAGAAGACCACACATTCTTCAAGGTTACCATTAGAGATTTCAACGCCAAGATTGGACCAAGAAGAACGTCTGAAGAACGTCACATTGGGACCCATAGATTAGAATGGAACGAACAGGGTGAGCGGCTGTCTGAATTTATCATGGCAACCAAGACAATCCATGGTAACTCGTAATTCCAGAAGCCACACCCTCAGTGCTGGACTTGGGAGTCTGCCAATGGAGAGTACCATAACGAAATAGACCACACCATAGTAAATGGAAGGTGTTACCTAAACGATGTCGCTGTTCTCCCAAAATTCTACACGGGATTAGACCATCGCCTCATTCGTGCAAGACTTCAGATTTCACGGAAAGGAGAAAAAGCCGCAAAGCTCAAAGAGCGAAGTTCCAGAACCACCGTAAAATGGGGCTTATTCAATTCGTTATTAGTCGGCTGTTGGGAAGATGCCGTTGTCGATAACATCGACGAAGAATACGATCGGCTCATTCAACATCTTCACGTTAGTGCTATGAAAGCTCAGAGTTCGAAGGTCACCAAGAGACGTCTGTCTCCAGAAACACTCGAGCTGAAACGCCAACACGGAATGGCACGAGCTGCAGGCAACCGCGAACCAAAGTCCGAACTTGCAAAACAGTGCAGATAGGCGATAAAAGAGGACCTTAAAGAGAGAACAGCAGCAGTAATGGCCGAAGCTGCAGAGGCTGGGAAAAGCATTCGCAAAGCCCACTGAAGCTTCGCCAATTACAAGACTAAAATGACTACACACCGGCGCCCAGACGGAACAGTTACAGCGTCCAGAAAGGCAATGGAAAAAATCATTCACGAATACTACTCGGATTTCTTCGATAGCCACGTCCATCTTCCGTTATATGAAATAAAGGAGGATGGATATGTTGAACTACCGGTTCTCCCTTCCGAAAATCGATATGCCATTTCGTCGGTGAAAAATCGAACAGCACCAGGTCCGGACAGGATAAGACCAGAACACCTGAAGAACCTTCCGCTAGTCCCCGTAAACACACTGGTTCGGCTCTTCACGCGTTACCTGTCTGAATGCAAGGTCCCTACTCAGTAGAAGACCAGCAAGACCGTGTTATTGTTGAAGAAGGGTGACCTGCGTGATATTAGCAACTATTGCCCAATGTGCTTACTGTCTGTCGTCTACAAACTTTTCACTCGGGTAATCCTAAACAGGATTTACAAAACACTAAACTAAGGACAACCATGTGAGAAAGCAGGGTATCGAAAAGGATTTAGTTCGATGGACCACATCCAAACGGTAACACGGCTCATTTAAGTATCGTAAGAGTACAAAAGATCGACCTGTCTCACTTTTATCGATTTACAGGCCTTTAAATCAGTTGAGGTAGAAGCAGTCTTGGAAGCCCTTGATAGTAAAGGAGTCCCTACTCAGTACATAAGGATTCTTCGTGTGAAAATCGATGGTCGGCAGTTACACCATCTTCGCTTTGCTGATGACATCGTCTTTATAACACCAAACATTAGCCAAGCGGAACGAATGCTTGACGACTTTGATAAAGCCTGTGGAAAAATCGGTCTTCGATTAAATTTCACAAAAACGTTGTTCATGAAGAACGGATTCGTTTCTCATGTTCCATTCACGCTCAACGGAACAAATATCTCCGAATGCTCCAGTTATATCTATCTAGTTCGGGAAATCAATATGATGAACGACCTAGCTGCAGAACTGAGCAGAGAGAAACGCGGCTTGGAGAGCATTCAAGAGCATCGAGGATGTAGTGAAGAGAACAAAGAACATCCGACTCCGTGCACACTTTTTCGACTCAACGGTACTTCTTGCCCTAACGTATGCGTCAGAAACCTGGTCGCTGCGTAAGCAGGATGGAAGATCACTCAGCGTTATCGAACGCTCTGTCGAAAGGACGATGCTATGAGTATCCCGTTTCACACAAGTAAGGGGTGGGATCCGAAGCTCCGATCTGTGTCAACGATCAAAAATCAAAGATTTCGTTCTGTACGCCAAACAGTCGAAAATAAGGTGGGCCGGACACGTAATGCGTATGAATAACAACCGATGGACAAGAGCCGTTAGTGACTGGATTCCTCGAGATGTCAAATGTGCTGCAGGAAGGCCACAGATGCGATGGTCAGAATACTTCGCGAAAAACCCTAGAGGAAAGTTACGATACTCAACGATTCTCTAGAGCGAGCAGAACCCCCTGGGCTACTCTTACACGCAACAGGGAGAAATGGAAGATTTACTGGGGCCCGCTCGAGTCACTCGACGATCAACGGGACTACAGGTGATACAGGTGATCATTATATTATATTATATCACGTCATATCAAGAAAAGCGCGCAAGTAGCGCAGTGGTCGGAAGCACCCTGGAACACACACATGGGATCGATCCCCACGCCCATGGCTCATCAAGCCTTCCATCCCTCCGGAGATGGCAAATTGGTACCAAACTTGTCTGGGAGGATAGAAGCACTGGTTCAATACATCGGTAGGGCACCGCGAGTTATTGTGAAGGCCAAATATGCATTTAATCACCTCCAAACGATGCTTAATGAAGTCGAATGCATGGCACATCCCTCTGGGATTGATCAACGCCGAGAGCTTTATCCTGTTATCTTTTTACATCAAAAGCAGTAACTAACTACCGGCGTTCAAGTTTTTTCTAGTTGTTGTTTTCTCAACCAAGCACATTTTCCTTTTCAGGTGTAATTTAACTAAACGAAGCGGCGAAAACCTTGTCCTTTTCTGATGGGCGTGACTTCTAACGAGCGTTGAGCGCTAATGAAATAATATTGTTAATTGTGTCCATAACTGCAACTAAAGAAGGATATGAGAAGTCCAGTTGTTAGAGTTGCTATGTAGTACACGCGTGATCTGTGGCTCGTCTTCACCCCTGTTCTGAACAAGTCTGACATCCACTCTGGATGGCTTTGTCAGACAAATTGTGTTTTTGACAAAAAACACATTTGTTCAATATGAACAGATTTATTTAACACAGCAAGATTTCGATTAGAAACGAACTCCTTATTCAGTAGTCTCAAAAGTTCAACCTGATTTTTTTAGAAGCCAAGTGCATTTCAATGTGTCCATTTTAAAATTATGAGGCTCTTCGTGCGCGACAAACTTTTTTTCCTAAAAAGTCATTTACCAGAAAGAGCGGCAAACTGATAACATACTTGCATTTCCAGTCCACAAATGTCTATGCAGAGAGTGCTGGGAAGGCTTTAACAGAACTTCCTCCGGACTCCAGGTGGAATCATTCCATTAGGAACCATTCATGAAGAAGATAAGGCACCAACTTGGCAGCCGAACTCAGGGGCAAATACGAAGACCTTTGGTAGATGACGGACGCAAGGCAACGAAACGAATGAAGGAGGTGTTTGGATCTGCACAATACGTGAAGTTGAGTCATAAAATGAGGAATGAAGGTGAAAAAAAAACTGGAAGGGAGGAGAAAGTAACTGAAAAAGGCAGTGCTTTTAGGCAGATCGCTATCTATAAAGATTAATCTAGTGGTTAGAATAGCAGTAATTAGGTATTCATCCTAAGGGAAACTCATTTAATTCTTTATTAGCCTATCTTTTTGAAGGTTTGTCATGAAGCCTTTCGCCTCCCCTTCTCATCACATGACCAGCCCACCGATGTTTATTTCTCGAGACTAGTCCTCTAAGACGTGATAATCTTCTAAGAACTAAACTAAACGGCGAAAACTGGCTTGATCTTTAGTGCGCTGGTTCATCTTCAGAAGATATTGCTCATATAGACGTGCGGATGAGATTAAAGGAGATGGGAAATAAAACTATTTCAAAGAACAACAGAGAATTTATCGTGTGAAGACCTGATACAAGCATTTTGGATAACGCTTAACTATAGAGAATTTGGCCATTACGTAGTGTTGGTCGATCAGCAGACTAATCGACGAAACAGCTACTGCAATTGTGGGAACTGCCATGCTCCTGGAAGGGTTCTGGGTACAAGGACAGCTTTGCATGTAATTCAGAAAGGTTGACGAGAATCAGCGGTGGAAAGCTGGGAATGCTCACACTCTATCTCAGATTTCTATGGAAAACCACGCCGACAGTATTTAACAACATATCAGTGAGCGTAGACAAGGAGACCTAAGTTGCAATAGCATTCACACTCGAGTGCGACCACCTCCATGGATGACAGTTGCGAGGTTAGGAAAAGTACTGGGAGCGGCTCGATGCTTAAGGTAGGACAATCGAACTCCTAGAAAATATGGCTACATGTTCAGAAGATATTGATCTTAAAAATGCCCCTCAGAAATGAACCGCTGTTCTCCTAGCATACAACTCTTAAACATTTGCCAGTAAACATTTTGAAGACTAAAGTCTTGAGAACATAAAAGAGAACTAAGTTTACATCACACTAGGGACAAAGATTTATGGCAATGAGGTCGAAAGAACTAAGGGATTCCGAGCTCGTGAAAGCAATTTGTCAGAGGAGAGGCGTTAATGGACGAAACTGCAACATGGTTAAAGCGAGCGTTTCCGTATAATTGTTATTTCCTGCAATTTGAGCGCTGTTACACAAACATCTGAGGAATGATCGTCAGGCGAGAAACGATTAGTTAGAATTGAAATATGCCCTAGAATTGAATTCTCAACAGCACGAAAGGCTTTCGAAATCGTCACAATTGCGACGACAGAGTTGAGGGAAACTGGGAGGCAGCCCAACAAGAATGGGTAGGGTAGTACGCGCAGTGGTTAGAGATGGTATGTAATAGGTGAAATGCATGGTTTCTTGCTCAACACCGCCCCAAGTCAGTTAGGCCTCCCATCCCTCCGTGGTCAGCAAATTGGCATCAGAGTTATCTAGGGAAAGCTTCATCCGATTCCCCTTATATAATTAGATGAGTACTTGTGGTGATGACCTCGGATCGCCATAGTAGAGCTAACCCAGAGAATCAACTGGGCCAGCACGCAACGACATTAATGATGAAGAAAGAGTCCGCGATTGGCAGCCGTACCCACACGCAAACATGAAAAGCTTTCTTGACTACGAAAGCGATACAGTGAAGCCAATGAAAGCATTTGCGAATCGCATAAGATGTGGAGTCGAGTAATGCTAATAAGTAAATAAATAAACAAGTGAACAATAAAGCTATCTCTAAACCATCAGCGCTTCCGTAAAGCACACAGACGATGGCAATTTTAAGAAATTTCATGGGTCTTAACCTGACTACTGTAGTTTTGTGATACACCAACATCGAAATTCCTAAAGAAATAAGGTAATAGGTCTCGATTAAGCACTGAATCACGTTCTCTGAGAAGGGAGTGGCAACTAGGTGAATGCATAATGATAATGGCGAACAAAGACGGCGTCCCGCCTTAGGCTCAATAACGCTAGAAAAAGTAAGAATATGACCAAATTCTGCTTTTAAACCAAACCCTTCATAAGAACAGTTATCTTCTTTTCTAAAAATCAGGATTCAATTTAATATTTGCTACTCGGTTGGTTTCGGGTAAGACCTACCACACTCATCACGGAGCTGAAGGCGAAGTCATTGTCAAAGCATACTGATGGTAAACCACACAAAGAAATTTCAAACTTTTAACTTGAAATTTATACTCTTTTAGGAAGAAAACTTAACTACAGTCAGAAGCAGCTTCTACTTAGGAAAAATTGCTTGCAAAGTAGTATGTAAAAGAAGTTTATAACAACATGAACTGAAAAGAACCACCACTGAGAAAGTAGAGCAGAACTCAAGGTTTTTTTCAAGCTCTTTGTTTTCGACTTAATCATAATCAGAATATTTAATTATTATTTATTGCCTATTATTTTTTTATGGCAGCGTATTATGAGAAATACAGCCATAATGATGCTGAGATATGAGCAAAACTCGCAACCTCACGTGAGCTTCGATCTAGCGTTTATCTTTTCCGGGGCTCACATGTTGCACACTGCACTAACGCTGCCTTCCCCTTGACTTTCCGTTAGCCTGCTTTTTATTCTAACACTGCCATCAGCCATAACTCGTCGACGGGAATGATCTGGGTAGCGTTGGTCGGCATTGAAACCATTTGGTTCTATTTCACATAATAGCCTACGAGGAAAATAAAAATAATAGGCTGTAAATAGATGTTAAACATTGTGATTTCGACTGTCATTCGAGCTTAATTTAACCTGATGCCTACTTTTGCCCCCAGATTACTCCCGTTGATGGGTGAATGCTGATAGCAGCGTTAGGGTAAAAAAAACTGGTTGTGCAAGAGGAAAAACAAACGGCGTGGTTGGCGCAGTGGATAACACCTCACCGTCCGAAAATGGTAGTCTCGAGCACGAAGTTCATCTGGGGCTGCGAGTTTTCCTCATATCTCAGCATCATTGCGGCCGATCATAATCAGTTCAGATCAATCAGACACAGCAATTCATTGAGATAAAGAGCTGTTTCGTGTTGGTGACTATCAAAAGGTGAGCATTTTCTATCGAAGAAGAGATATTTTAATAGCGGTTACTATAAATTAGAGTTATGAGACAAATGTAAATTCTCGAAGCCTAAATAAGAAGTGTTGTAGGATGCATGAAAAAGAGGTGACAGGAAAGAGATGGAGAAAAAAGATCAGTGTAGGAGTTGAAATAGACTTCTAAAAAGTGTCTCAAATAAATAACTGAACGAACCTGTGGTTTGTTCTATGCTAATCGAAAACAATGCGCATGTCCTTTTAAAGTCCTATAGTTAAGATTATTTACTATCCAAAATTGTTTAATTTATTTCAAGAACAAGCAGCGGATTACTTACTTGGATATTGGACGGCCCACCCTCACTGGTTGTGCGGGCTCCAGCACAATTTTCACTGTTTCGGGATTTTGGTGGTTTAGCCATTGAGCTTTCCT